CACCTCTTCCAGCTATGCCCCGCCTCCTAAGGATTCTGTAACCTCTCTGAAGAGCGCCACCAGCTGGTGACCAAATGTTCAAACACTGTGGGGGCATTGTACATTCAATCCCTAAGAGCATTAGACGGTCAGTTGTAGCCTTTTGGTGGTAGTGGTGGGGAGTGGGATTTGAGACAGGGTTTCTCTGTGTAGCCTGACTGGCCTGGAACTCACTTCGTAGATCAGGCTGGCCTCGAACTCAGAAATCCACCTGCCTCTGCCTTCCCAGTGCTAGGACTAAAGGCATGTACCACCACCACCCAGCTAGTTATAGCCTAATCTACTTTGGCAGATTTTACAGCGCCTAGATCAGTTTTCAACTTTTGTATTTAACCAAGTCCTTAAAACTTAAAGCTAGCTATACTTCATGTGACCATCTCCAAATGCTTGGGCTTTGATCAAAGAGAACACTGAGGCCGTGTCAGTCACAGCGTCAAGCATCTGGACTCATTTGTTCAAGTTCAGATAATTACAAATTCCCTACTGCTTGGCACCAGCTAAACATAGTAACAAGTGGCTGGTTGTTTTTCTTCTTTTTGTAAAATCCTAAAACTGTAGATAAAAGGCCTTCCTAGGGCAACATTCCTCAATTGAAAGCAGAGAACAGGTTTTTTTGTTTGTTTGGTTTTGTTGTTTGCTACAATAGTGGGTCACTGGGTTGCCCAGATTGACCTTGAACTCATGATCTTCCAGCCTCTACCTCTGGGTGCTTGGGTTATAGGCAGGTATCACTATGCCAAACTCAGTTAAGGTACTTTTCCCCAGTGGCAGAATTCATCAGAGCCCACCTGAGGGGGTGTCTATGGTCCTGTCTGTAGACCCTTGAAAGGCGTGGCTTTGGTTTCATTATGCATACCAGTCAGTTCCTGCATCTGGACTGCCTCCCTCTGCAGATACCACCATCCAGCAATGACATTAGTTGATCCTTCACTGAAGGCTGAAATCATTGGATTAAATTAAAAAAAAAAAAGTGTACCAAAAAGTGAGTGGAGGGGGACAGTTAACAGTCTGTTAGCTGTCACCTCCACGAGGACACAGCAGCTGAAGTCAAGTTTAGACCCTTAAAAAGAGTGGAAAAAAGAAAGCGCATACTTTCCAGTACCGCTGTCCTAGCCAGCTGGGCACAGTGCCGGTGCCGTGGCCAAAAGAGGTCTTCGGTTTCAGAAATCCGAGACCCCGACCTTGCAAACAAGGAGGGACAGAGGACTGCCACTGGGGCCAATGGTGGCATTTGGATTGTTTCTGGTCTCCCGTCTGCCCATAGTTATAACAAACATAACTGCCGTGTGAAGCCCACAACAAAGAGTCAGGCCTCCAGGTGAACAGGAGTGAGGTGTCTCAGAAAGTGTGTGTGTGTGTGTGTGTGTGTGTGTGTGTATCAGTAGCTTTGAAGGAAAGCTTTCAAGCTTTCTATGTAAATGTCGGCTTCCTCTTTCCCAGAGTTAGCCTGTTTAGGGAATAGCACACAATTCAGGTTTCTGAGTTGGAAGCCTGATTAATCTCTCTGTCAGTTACATATGGAAATAAATTAGTAAATGGTCCATCTGGGACTAAACTTCTGCAGAGGCGATAAATTATCACCGTCGTCTATGTCGGTGTTGCTGAAGGCTGAGCTGTGCTCTCAGAAGCCGTTGAAAGATAACTGGATACTTGGCTGTGGTCAGAGGCATAACATCTGACGGGAAAAAAAAAATTCTGAGGAAGGAATTTACCTTGAAATGTTTCTAGGGAAAATGGCTTGGTTGATACCAAGTTGGTTCCTCAAAACTGCTCTATCTGCAAACATCTGAAAGGGAGAGTCTTGAGGGCATACGGAAGATTTGAGTCTTGTATTTTCGAAGGCTAATGTAATACCACATCGGTAATTAATACCCAAGGTCTCAATAAAGAGTAGAGTCTGTGCGAGATTGTGTGCTCTGATCTGCTCAGCACCTTCATCTGTTTTCTTATCTCAGTTTGAACAAAGGTGAGACAGGTCAATGTCTCTCTTTTCTTTCTTTTTAAAAAAAGATGTGTTTGGTGTGTGTGGATGTCACAGGGTGTGTATAGAGGCCAGAGGACAACTTCCTGGGAGTCAGTTCTCTCCTTGCACCCTGTTTAGAGGCAAGATCTCTTGTTTCTGCTGCTGATTGCTGACTGCTGATTCACTGTAGACTTCACTTCTCCCTGCAGGAGTGCTGGGATTACAGATGTGTGCCACCACATCTGGCTCTTTTTTTTAAATGTAGGTTGTCAAGATTGAACTCGGGTTGTCAGACTTGGGGGCCAAGTTCTTTACCCTAACCCTTCTGGCTCAGCATCCCACAATTATAAGGATAAGCCATCACATCCTTTCTAATGCCTCTTTTATATAAAAATAAAAAGTGTAGAGTGTAGGGGATCCAGACCTTACTCATAATGATTTGCATGTTTAGAAGGAAGAATCGTAATGAACAAGATGAGATTCATACTTCTTTCTGATTTCTAAAATTTTCAATAGAAGCCTTGGTGTGGCATCCAGTCCCATCATTGATAACTAATATCAAGAAATGAAGCCATGACACCTTCTACTTATGTCCATGTTCTGGAAGCAAGAGCAATAACTGAGCACAAACGTTCCGTTTCTCCAACTGGAGATGTTGAATCTATGTTTAGTTTAGCTTTGGGTGGGACGGATGCACACCACAGTCAACCTGGGATGCTTTATAATGTTAAGGTCAAGAAGGTGTCAGGACTTTGCCCCTTGACAGAAACATCCTGGGCTGCAGTGACATCCAGATTCTTGTGCCTGCCATAACGTTGTCTTTTGTGTTCCTTCTGGGCGGACCATGAGCTGAGAATCCTTGAAGCAGCTGAGAGTCTCCCTTGTGGAAAAAAAATGCAGAGTGTCTAATATAAAATGTAAAATCTAAAAACCAAACTGGGCATAGAAATCTTTATCTCATTCACAGGACGAGGGTTTCTAAGCATAAGCCAAGGGTGCAGGCTGTGTAGCCTTTACCCAGGGATTAGAAGCCACGGCTCCCTTGGTCCCAACTCTCTGTATTTGGAATTGACCTTGATTTACTCAGATCTTCAAGTTCCTCATATATCAGCCAGACGCGGCTACTGGGTATCTCAAAGAATCAAGTTAGGGCATTGCCTGTGTTTGCCTGTCCCACTTAGGTTTTTCTTTTTTTAATTTAAATAATTTATTTATTTGAGACGATCCCATATATTTCAGGGTAGCCTCCAACTTGATATGTAGCTAAAAATGACCTTAGAATTCTGATTTTCTTGTGTCTACTTCCTAAGTGCTGGGATTATAGGCATGGGCCACCATGTCTGTTTTTACACAGTGCTGGGGATCAAACCAGAACCTCCCAGAGCCTAGACAAACACTATCAACTGAGGTGCTAACCCAGCACTCGGATTCTGATATTACAAAAAATATTTATTTGGTGTGTGAATGTGCATGCTAGTATGTGTGTGCATGCATGTGTGTGTGTGTGTGTGTGTGTGTCCATCCGTGCACACACAGTGGAAGTCAGAGAACAGCTTTCTGGATTTTCACCTATTTGAGACAGGGTCTCTTCTTTCTGCTGCTGTGAAGCACACTCTGGGCTCGATAGCTTGAGAGCTTTTGGGCAAGTCCTCTGTCTCTGCCTCCCATATCTCAGTAGGTGTGCTGGAAGCCCAGATGCCCACCACTGCTTCCAGCTCGTTACATAGATTCCAGTTTTTTACATGAGCTTGAACTCGGGGCCCCAGACTTGAACAGACAGCATCATGGTACTCTAGTGACCCATCTCCCTGCCACCTGCCCCGTTCTAATCTAAAGCTTCATAATTATTTCCATTGTCTTAACAATCAGTCACTTCATCCTAACCCCAACTAGAGAGAGACAAGTGTCTTATCCAGAGCCCTCTAACAGGAGGTGGCGAGGTAACCACTCTCTGGTGTTTGATGCTTGTGTCCTCCTGAGTGGCTAATGCATTTCGAAGGAGCTCCTCTCCTTTCTTCTTCCTCCCTGTTCAATCCTTCCTCCTCAGTGTTCTGTCTTTAATTATGTTTTACACGTGAAGTGAGTAGGGTGAATTTTTATTGAATAACAGGATCAGTGCCTATGGATGAATGGATGATCTAAGATCAGACGCGCGTACAGGGTTCATGAGAACACTGCCCTTCATCCCTCTCCTCCCAGCGTTCTTAAGTCTGTAGAACCTGGAGCAGTGCTAGAATTTTTCACCTTTCTAGTAAACACCTTCAGATGCTGCTGTTCTACGGCTATGTTTGAGAACCACGGCTGTAATGACCATTTCCTAACATGCTCACACCACCCCTCACAGGATAACACCACTCTTGGAGAATCCATTCATTTGCCATTCTTAAGACCTTAGGTGCCATCTCCTGTGCCAACTTTTCTATTGTTCAGGGTTATTAACTATGACCCACTAACTTGTGGGTTAAGCAAGTTAGTCCCTAATAATACTAGAGAGATGTGCCCTCCCCCCCACCCCCCCGCCTCGTCTGTAGCTGCTGGCGGCAACAGAGAGACTGTGTTTTAATGAGAAAGAGTCACTGGTCATTACAGCCTGAACACTAAGGCTACCCAGTGGCTTGAGGTTGGCCTTGAACACATGGCCTCTGGCAGTTTTCCTTCAGACAGACAAGTGTTTCAGAAGTAGCAATGATAAAAGAAAAGGGTCTCAGGAATGTCTGGATGGCTTTTGTAGCAAATCAAATAATGTTACAATGTCTATGGCATGTATTTTCAAATTTCTGGGCCCTCTTGTGCCCCTGAAGCAGTTTCAAAACCACTCCATCCTGAAGGCCTCACTCCTTCACTAACTATCCAAGAACTGAGAGGCACTCTGGCAACCTGCTTTTCACTGAAGTGTGTCATGTGTCTGGGGTCAGGTCAGAGAGGACGCGCACTGTGCCTCTGAGGACTCTCTGAACCCTTAGTCTAATCCTGTCTCCCTTCTGCTCTCGTCCTGCAGCCTCTAGAAGTGTCGTCTAGTGATTATGAAGGCACCTTTGTCCTTTCTGGAGAGATGCTGACCTCCATTTCCTGGACCCATTCTGACTCAGGTAATCACACTCTCCTGGCCCTTCCCCAGCCACCAAGCCTCAGTAGATTGCATTGACTCAATGAGATACCAGAACTATATTTAAATGCAAATACCAAGTTGATTGTTTCTCCCTCTATTGCTGCCCTTCCCCCAATCTTCTTAATGATCAGTTCACTGGCAGGGTGGTCAATCCAATTTAGGTATTAAGATAATTGGAAGACCTTGAGTCACATCTTTATTTAAAATTCTGCGTGTCTTGGACCCATGAAACCACACGAACATCCCTGGGAATTTTTATGGGGAGGCTGACTAGAACCCACGTTCATCACCACCTTTCCCAGACTGCCACGCATAACTGTCTTCATGCTTCTGATTTCGTACCAGTTGTGTTCAGAGGAGACTACTGAGTGTCTGTTTTCTGCACTTGGGACAGATGGGGGGTGAGGAAGCACAAGGCTGTTCTCCATCTTCAGGGATCTCTCAGGATTGCCAGGGTCACAGCTCCATCAAGAGAGAAGGGCAGGCGCTGGGGTTCAGTTTGGTGGGGGCTGGGCACTAAGGATAGCACTCTGCTTCAGGGAACCCACAGACTTCCAGATTTTGAGGTTGAAATAACCATCAAGGATTGTGTAAAGCTAGAGGCATCTCAGATGACTTATTCTCTGAGGATCTCTTGGCCAGGCAGAGGTAGGAGAGGGACGTGACGCTTAGGCAGGAGAGCAGGACTGAGCCCTCAGTGTGGATACACAGCTGTCTCATCCCTGATCCTCTGTCCCAGCCAAAGCCAGAGTCCTCCTCAAGGCCTGGGCTGCTTAAGATCCTATGGTAGAGCCATCTGGGAGAAACGCCATCCTGTGACAGAGGGAGCTTGCCTGGGAACAGCACCTCTGTTGTACAGCTCTGGCATGGGGGTTTTCCTGCTTGTCTGCCTGTCTTTAGTATTATTTACTCTTCTCTTGCAAACTCACCCCTTCATCCTCAAAGTGCTTTGGATTACCCACAGCTTGATGAGGCCCTGGGTGAAACAGACACTGTGCAAGGCCAGTACCTGACCTTCAAAGGTGCCATTTTCAAGGTTAAAAAAAAAAGAACAGATAACTAAAATGACTAGATTATATAGGGAGGAAGAGTGTCTGGGGCTGGAGGGGGTAGCCCGGTCCCCGGGCTAGAAAGTTGGTTCAGGCGGGTGGGGTAGGGGGTAGAGGATAGGGGATGCCAGCCATACCCTGTAGCGGTAAGGACTGAGGGATGCTGGGATAACCTGGAGGCCTGGTTTGAATCGATAATGTTATATAGGCACCTAAGCCATTTATCCCAGGATCTGAGACTTAACGGTCTTCATCCCTAACGCTGAACAAACCCGAGTGTGATGCAGATGCCTGAGAGCCCAGCACCTGGTGTGGAGGCAGGAAGTTGGAAATTTAAGGCCATTCTCCACTACATAGTTAGTTCGAGGCTAGCTTGTGTTGCTGGGGACCCTGTGTGGAATTGACACATTCCTGTCTCTTAAGTAGGGTTTTATTAGAGCCATAGCTCTGTGCTCATTCATTCTGCATGACGAAGGCAGCTTTTGCACTACAGTGAGGAAGTTGGCTAGGCAGAGCACACACCATAATATATTTACCATCTGACCTTTTGCAGAAGTTTGCCATCTCCTGGCCTAAACAGCGGTGTGGCACATGCTTTTGCAAAATTTGAGATGTGGGACTGGTTCCCCATTAGGAAAATCTGGTCGTATAATGGTAGACAAACATAGGAAAGAGAGGGTGGGAGGCATTTTCTAGATGAATCACACTCCTAGCTGGATTTTCCAGGTATCTCTGTAAGTTTCAATTAAATCTAAGTGCATCTTTGGAGTGATTTCATTTCGGGAACCTACGTATACTGTTAGTCTGGTTTTCACATGAAGCACCAGGCTTCCTGGAATAACCTCAGTGTTGGACTAGATGGGTACCAAATTAACGCAAACCTTGCATCTTGGAGCTTTTGTCTTTTTCTTTGGCATTAGATATGGGCTCTTTTATTTTAAAGCAAATAAATCTTTTGGTTTTAAATCAAGTTAAGTGTCGCACGGTTACCATGAGTAACCTGTTTTCATTTTGCCAATCTTTTTTTTTCCCCAAGCTGGTAGAATTGTATGATACTGGAGTGAAATCTGTGGTTAAAGCTGGAGACAGGAGTGCCTGACTGGCTGAGCCAAGGACAGCTGTAGTAGCATAGTAAGATTAAAAAGTGTATCCTAGTCTGGGGCTGGAGAGATGGCTCAGTGGTTAAGAGCACTGGCTGCTCTTCCAGAGGTCAAGAGTTCAATCCCCATCACCCACATGGCTGCTCACAACTGTCTATAAGCGGATGGGATACCTTCTTGTGGTATTCAGAGAGACAATCAGACAAAATACCCATATACATAATATAAATAAACAAATCTTTAAAAACAACAAAAAAAGTACATCCTGTGGGACTGGCAAGATGGCTTAGAGGGTAAAGGCACTTGCTGTCAAATGATGCAAGCCGTGTGACCGAAATTCAAATTCAGTCCCCCAACCTAAGTAAAGATGGAAGAAGATAACTGACTCTTGTACGGTTGTTCTCTGACCTTGATGCATGCATACAGTGGGCGTGCCCTCTCTTCCCTTCTTATACACACACACACTCACACATACACTTACAATAATAATAACAATAATAACAAATAAATAATAACTGTTTATGTCAGTGCTGGAGAGATAGATGGTTAAGAGCACTTACTGTGTGCTAGACGTAGTGGTACACACCTTTAATCCCAGCACTTGGGAGACAGAGGCAGCTGAATCTTTATGAGTTCGAGTCTAGTTCCACACAGCCAGGGCTACATAGTGAGACCCTGCTTTGAAACAAACAAACAAACAAACAAACAAACAAAGAAGCAACAGCAAAAAGAGCACTTCCTGTTCTTGAAGAGGACTGGCATTCAGTTCCCAGCTCCTTCATGGAGGCTCGTCACTGCCGGCTCGTCACTGCCCGTAACTCCAGTTCCATTGCCCGGACATCCTGTTCTGGCTTCTGCACACACATGCACAGACACTGATGCAGGTTCACACACATACACAAATACCAAAAAAGAGCAAAAAAAAAAAAAAAACAAACCTTTAAAAAATATTAAATAAATAAAATAGAAAAGTGTCAGGGGACTGAGGCTAGACCTTGGTTGGTAGAATGCTCACCTAGCCTGTTACAGTCTTAGACTCAATCTGAAGCACTGTATAAACTGAGAATTCTCCTTGGCTACATGGTAGGTTCAAAACCAGCTCGGGGTCCATGGGACCCTACCTGAATGAAAGGCCCAACCAACCACAGTCAACACAGACCAGATAGCCTGCAGAACAAAAGCCCATTAAACAAAAGGCTATTCAACAAAATGTAAGACCATATGATCATTTCCTTAGATCCTTCCTAGTTAGTGTTCCGAACCAAGCACATGAGCTCAGAAGGACCAGTGGCTGAACACCGAGCCACATGTGGCAGTCAGCTTGCATTTCTTGCTTCAAGAAACCCACCCCCCTGGTATATCACATACGCGCTTTGGAGATGAACAAACAAGAAGAAAATGCTCCCATTCTGAAAGAAAAGCTAGGTAGAAATTTCTAATCTTGTCTCATAAACAATATAGAAATAACTTTAAAACATTCCACTTTAAGCATGCATGTAATTTGTGTTCTGGGAACCAAATAGCGTTGCCAAGATAGAGCATTCTAATAATGATTTATGTAAATTTATTTGTACAAAGTAATGGTGTAGTTGCCTATAGCAAATTGCTTAGAATATGAAATGACATTTATGGGTCCATTCCCTCCCACCCTCCACCCCCCACCCCCCGAATGAATACAGTGGAGAAAATGAGAGAGTCCAGAAAGCAAAAAAAAAAAAAATTCAGGTTCAAAATGGAAGCTGCTGGTTGAGGAAGCAGAGATGACTGGCTAGGTTACAGGTATAAGAGTCATATCTGTGTGAATCTCTGTGATTTACTGGTTATTCGAGTCATTTTTTTAAGGACAAGAGAGGCCAGAGGATAATAAAGTACTCAGGCACTAAAACTCTCAGAACAGCCACAGCTCCCTTGCCCTGGTTGATGTCCTGGTGGCTTGCTTACAACATGTGGCAGGCAAGGCAAATATAATTAAAATTAGGCAATTAATCTTAGCCACAAGTTACTTATTACCAGAGAAAGTCATACTTCAGTCATAAATGAAACCCAAATATTATAAAACAAAAACCAAGCTTCAGAATTCTCTCCCAAGATCTGATTCTGGGACCTCCAGGCCATGTGCCTGATGCCTGCCCTGTTTGCACCTTCAATAATGACTCCAGGTGTTCCCTGGGAGCGTCTGATTCATAAAAGCCATACACACACCAGAGTGTCTGGATGCTTGGGCCTAGTGAATACCTGCTACAGTTACCACACCCTGCACTGTTTCAAAGAACGCATGTAACATCTTTAAGAGGCGATTTGATTTGTTCAGAAAGTACTTTTACTAGCTGGCTTGCTGGTCTCCATCATTTGGAGGAGGTGGAAATTTATAAGATACATATCAAGAAATCTGAGGGCTATGGGAGTCACAGAACATGACAGCAGCAGAGTGAGCTGTGGGCAGATTCCACTTGCCCCTTTGTCATCTCTAGGTTGGGCAGGTTGGGCATTCTGGACAGCTTGTTTTGTTCCAGTCAAAGATTTACCTTTTGGTTTACCCCAAGGCATTTTGGAACTATGCTCTTGCTGGGGAGAGGGCAGGTGGAACTGAATGACAGTGTTTCCTGGGCTGTTCTAGAGCCATGAACTGATGGCTGACAAGATTTAGAGGCCCAATGGAATTGTCAGACGGAATGAAAACAACCAGGGAAGGGGGGCGGGGGAGGGGAAGCAGGGTGGAAGGGAGGGCTAGGCTTAATCGACATTAAACAAATGTAGGTCTGAAAAGTTGTGTTAAGGTTGTTTTTAGGGAACAATCCCAAGAATCCAGTCTAAAGCAGTGAATCCAGACA